ATGTTGTGATTTGGGATATAAAATCAGTCTTGAGTCAAATCTGACATGTTGTGATTGGGATATAAAATCAGTCTTGAGTAAAATCTGACATGTTGTGATTGGGATATAAAATCAGTCTGAAGTAAAATCTGACATGTTGTGATTGGGATATAAAATCAGTCTTGAGTCAAATCTGACATGTTGTGATTGGGATATAAAATCAGTCTTGAGTCAAATCTGACATGTTGTGATTGGGATATAAAGTATGACATTTCTCGTCGCTTTAACTTTTCAGTACGTCTGGGTTTTTGGAATAATTAATTAAATTTATAAACATTTACATTTACAAGTTGGCTTTGCTTTAGGTGAAATTTGAACTTGGGTTGTAGAGACTAAACTCATACTATACACAATAATACTTTTAATAATACACTGATTTACCTCAGAAATATTAAACCAAACGATAGTTAGGCACTGAAATGCTGAAAAGTATATTTATGTCTAAATACAATATAAAAATTCAAACACCTTACCTACAATTGTAGCAAATATAAAAACTCCAATCAAATAGCTTACAATGGTAAAGGTGTACCTGAAAATAGAGAAAAATCAAGAAATAAGAAGTGTATTTACATTTTATTACAATCTAATATCTCAACTCTTGTTTTGCTAACCCTAAAATAATCCATACTTAACCTTCTGTTGCTGTACTCGTAATATTTTAACAAGTTCTGACAATATATATATATAAGCCAATTTTTATTATTTCAAAGAGTAAAATAGTATTTAACAAGTTTTGCTGGATATTTATTTACAAATTACTTTTCCTCACCAGAATGTGAAGAAAAGATGACGTAGAGACTTAATATATTCTTTGATTCGTTAATTCCGCTGCAGACGACTAGTTTCACTGAATTCACAGCTCATCAGAGCTGCTTGAAGAGCGAAGCAAATAAACGAAAAAAAGGCCTCATATAGTGGTGGGATATAAGCACAGAAAAACACGATTTGTCGAGGAAAGTAAATTCGTAAATAAATATATAATCACTCCGCTGAATAATAATGACTAATTAATCGTGACACACATACAGACTTTTTTTTAAATAACGGGTTACATAAAGATAAAACACGAAGTGACGATATCAAATTTTTCACATGCACAATAATTATATTTGAAAAAAGTTAAAAGAAATAAACACGTTCTGTATGTTTCTGTCGACAACAAGGTCCACCATTTTCAGAAAACGAAGAAGGACACACAAGGTTCCTTTATGTTCTAAATAATTGTGCGTATACAATTAACAATAAGTGTAAGTATACAATTAATATACTGTACAGTGGCGCTAGTTACAAAATTCACTCTGTGGCACCTCGACTTGAATCTCTATTCAAACTCATCAACTTGTTTTTAACAATTTTCAAAGATTATCTTATATTTAATTCGTTTTTAACTTAACCTGTTTATGTAATTTCACATTATCTCAATCAATGACATGGGAAGAGATCCTCACATGTTATTCCAGAGCCTACTGTGTCTAATAAAATTAGATGAGAGTTAATTTTAGTTGTTTAAATAGAAGCTCTTTTAATCATTTATGCGATTTTCATCTCCGCTAGCAATGATCAGCTTTATTCAGTTTAAAAGAAGCAGGATTTGCTCCTAAGGGAATTCTGTTGGTATTTTAATGTTCTTTGATGCGGGTGAACAATATTATTGGTCTCTTTGATGCGGGTGAACAATATTATTGTTCTCTTTGATGCGGGTGAACAGTATTATTGGTCTCTTTGATGCGGGTGAACAATATTATTGGTCTCTTTGATGCGGGTGAACAATATTATTGGTCTAACGTATTGTCGACAAGGTTATTGGTCAAACAAACTGACACGCCTCAGCATATAAATGCTAAACTTCACAATAAGTACAATTTTCAGCCATTAATGTGGCTTAAAAGCATCGGCGCGGGATTAGCCCTGTGGCAGGGCTCTGGATTTCGGAACTGACGAGCCGTTATCGAATCCCTGCGTTATCGCAAAAATATGCTCCACACGTGCGTTATAAGAGTGTCAGTAAAACTCTCAATTAGGGATCTGCCATGAATATAAATAAAATACAAATATGCTTAAAAGTTATAATTATTTCAACCTAAAGTGAAGATTTAAGTTAACTCTTTACTTCAAACTGTTGGCTAGAAAACCACAGGACATTATTAGCTGGTTAGAGTAGAACCTAAGGCCTAGGTCTGTTTACAATAAATAATATCAAAACTATTAAGACATGCTGGACAAGACTGATAACGATAAAAGAACTTCAAGTTTAGGTCCAACTATTTGGTGAAATGAGCCATGATCAATATTAAATTGTAGTAGTTTGGTATTTGATCACCATTTTGTGTCGTTACGTACAAGGATCATGTACATAAACGTTTATAATGTTGTACTGACTTTAATATCTGAAATCCGAAATAGTTCAGTGTTAAAACACATTTACAGCAATTCTTTGATTTTGCTACTAAAGAGTGGGCATTTGTGGTAGAGAATTTAATATATTCGACTGTAGTTCAGTAAAAGTATAGCAATTCTGTTTTAAGGTGAAAACGAAAACCAAATGTTTTAAACTTTTAATTTTATATATAGGTTTTTGGTGACTATTTTATTTAAGGAACAATCTTGTAACGATGTCAACCATGGATAGTAATACTACTCACACTCCACTATAGGTAAGAAATAATTGATCTTAGTGTTTCTGTCACAAACGTATTTACTTCTTCGAGCTATTTTCATGTTGATTTGAAATAAACGTAACTGAATTTTCTTCCCATCCGTTTCTATCAGAACCAACCTTGTGTCCTGTTCCTAATGCTGTTCGTTTAAGGTCTGGGTCTTTTTTAGAATATCAAACTGAAATTTTGAACCTCGTGTATTCTCCAGTTAAAATCTTTAAAGTCAAAATCTAAAAGAAAACCTTAGTTGATGTGATACTTTGTCAGAATTTAAAACTATAATTCGTCTCGCCAATTGTCAAAATAAAAGGCTTTTACTTATACTTTTTAATAGTATAAATATATACAATGTTGTTGTTGGGTTTAAGATTCTTCTACAGTAGGTGTCTGTGAATTGTTGGAGATCAATTCAACGATGATAATATATAAATTGAGAACAAGTTAACGTATGTACAATAACTTCTTCAACACTATAAAGATTATAGGTATATCATAAACATTACATATATAGTTCTCTTCTTCTTGTCAAAGTCCACTTCTCTATTACTATCGCACCAGTATTCTGTGTGTGATTCACTTACAATTGTAGCGCGAGTTACCGTAATCGTTTGCTCTTCTTTCTTCTAAGTATCCTCTGTTACTTTTGTTAAAGTACACTTAGGCTGATTCAATTACTTTAGAACCACGCTTTGATGGAATAATTCTTCTTCTTATCTCCTTTTCTACTGTTAGTCTTACTCTAACATATTAAACGTTAGGCCTAACACTTCTACGGTAGTTAACTTCATGCCAAACTTTTCCTTGCCCTGTAACTTTACTCTCTTCTGCTATTGTCAGTCTGTTATTTTCGCTCGTCTCACACTATATATATATCTCTATCACTTAGTCGTCTGCTCGCCTTCTAGAAGTCTCTATATTCTCGACGTCAGTGTATTGCACGCGACGTTCGATAGTCTCAACATCAATGAATTATAAACATAACTTCCTACAACCGTCTGCTTTTAACTGTTATTATAACAAAACTAAGCAATAATAAAATATTCAATCGCAAAATAAATAAATCAATAATATCTAAAATAAACAGTCTTTTATATATTCACACACATATAGTGCCCCTTTGTGTTGTTTATCAAAATCTCAATCTTCTTATGAGTGAGCTTATATTAACTTAACTAAAATAATGTTACAGATGAACTTTTCACGAAACGTTGGACAAAAGTCCAGAAATAAAGATCTCTGGTAGTAAAAATGATATACTTAGAAAAAATTGTTACTTCTGAACATTTGTATTTGGAAGTTTAAGTTTTCACTTATATTAAACCGAGAAAAGCAACTCAAATATTTTAATCAACCTCAATGTGTTATTTGTATTTTATTTATATCTGAATATAGTAGAAACGAAAGAAAATGATAGAAACACGCCATTTTTCAGTTCTACAGGCTTGTAGCAAAGTTCGAATGAAAATAAAAACAAAAGGTGGGTGTTAATGTCTTAGGTCATGGAAAGATTTTGTAGTTGAAACTTAGGTTTCGGTCTGTAGCTTGACATCGCTGTAAGGGCCTAACTCTAGATATTTTAAGGACAGTACAATTTCCTCTTATTTAGTACTATTTTTCTGAAAATTTAGAGCGACTAAAATCTCGTAATCTGCAGGTCGCGGGTTCGAATCCCCGTCACACCTAACATGCTCGCCCTTTCA